ACAAACGTTTCTCTCTCTCTCTCTCTCTCTATATATATATATATATATATATATATATATATACACACACACACACATGCACATGTACACACAAACAGAATAAAAAACATATGAAAATAGCTCTTTACTTTGAAATACCCTGGTACAATTTCAGCTTGGAGATTCTGTTGATTTTGGAGAAGCATCTTCCTTCGTTTCTTGTTTTCTTTTCGAAGTTCCTGCAACTGCTTCTGATCATTAACTCTAAGTGCTTGAAGCTCAGATAATTCTTTACTTGTCTGTTCATGTTTTTCTTCAATAACTTGAAGTACTTCAGTTAAATATTCCTGAGAATGCTGCAATCAAATTAAAATATGAGCATAATTTCTACAGAAATTAAAACAAAGCCAATCAAATTCAGCTTTCAGTGATCAAGGCTGGTTGTGTAATGAAGAAATATCTAATTCAATACCTTTTAATACTAATAATAACTTTAAACTATAGTTCTTAACTTTTTGGTAACACTAAATTAATTCCAATTTAATTTCTAAATTTTATTATACATTATAGTTCATCTTTTTATAAAAACTAAGGAAGTTTAAGCATTACTCAAGGAAAAAAATGCTTATTTATTTTGTTCCATTTACGTTTTTATCTAACCTAACAAATTTGTAATCTTAACATTTTAGTTACTTTTATTAAAAAATACATATCAATCAATAAAAAATATACATAGACAAATAAGAAATTTAACACTTCAGGACTGAAGTATTTTGTTCTTGGAAGTCAGTCTCCATTAATCCTAAATTTTTCTCACTGCATAGGTTATCAAAAAAATGATTTATGTAGCTTTCAAATATGCACTTTAAAACAAACAATGATTCAAAAAGTAAAACAGAATCACCCAAAGTGACTATATTTTATCTGGCTTTCTAGCAAACCTATAGGAAGGATTAAAAAATGTCATTACTTACCAGAGCACTGACTACGATCTTCACTGAATAAAATCTGTTTCGAAAATGGTACTTTTTACCAAATTAAATTAAAATAAAGACACCATAATCAAGTGTCTCACAAAATAGGGTTTCTATTGGTTAAAAAATGTACCATTGGCAAGTAAGCATGAGTAAACAAGTAATTTCGACAATATGAAGAGTTGGGAAGAACTTCTATGGGGAGGAGGGGAGTAACAGACTTATTAATATCTCAGAAAAAAAAAAAGATAGGAGGTTTATATCTCACATTCTGGCCTGTGAATATCTATAGTTGGTGTATTTAATTGATAGACATTCCAAAACCCATATAAGGGAAGAAAGAATATCTAAAGCAGAATTCAGAGCAGAGAGGCCTCACATGACACAGAAAACTGAAGATTAAAAATTTATTTAATTCTTTCTTTTTTGAATTAAGAAATTAAAACTTATATAATATTAAACCTTGAATTATACACTATGTTTTGATGCCAAATTTACTGACATATGTTGTTAATAAGGTTGTTTCATTAAATTTGAATGTAACTCTGGAAATAGTTGTGATATGCATATTTTGACCACAACATGTGCAGGTAGGATAAATCCTTTCTGGAACAGAGGAGTGTCACCTATATCACTTGATGGTTTCCTTTGATAGTGGAAATACTTAACTACACTGCATGAAACTTACTACAAACTTACCAAATAATACCTAGTTTTGGCTTTAAAAAAATGCATGTAATTTGATTTTGTATCTCTATAATTTTTTGGGTTGTGAACTTTCTAAAATTCCATTCAAAGCCAATGTTTTGATAAAACATTAAATATACTTCCTTTTATCTTAGAATTTATTTTTAACTGTGATCATAAAGTTCCATTTTATATATCCAACTTGATTGATACCCATTAACTTATTTCTTTTGATACTTTATTTGACCAAATGCAATGGTCACCACTTCTGAAAATCAATTGTAAAAAACACAGCAAAAAAAAAAAAAAAATTTATCAGTGACTAAGGACCTGATCTTCCAAAATTGGGTAACTGTTATTATTTTTGCCAAACTAGATGTCATAATTTTTGTAAAAGATTATTATTGTTTTGCAATAAATTTATATCTTATATAGTTTGCTTTCATTAAACAATAAATTATTTTATTTATTTGCATTATTTGAATATGATAAACGTAACAATAACATTCAATAAGTAAGGACTTGAGTCATTGCAATACTTTATTGTCACCCTCTGTACTAATTTACCTGATGTCTTGTCATAGAAGAAAATTTCTGTAGCTTTCAAACAAATATAATTTAAAATTAAAAGATTTTCAGGAACAAAAGGAATGTCTAAAGAAATTTCAAAGAATTATCAGATGTGTAGTTTCATAGTAACTCTTCTAAATTACCCATTAGATTACTTTATTCATCCCTGCAGGAGCTCTAAACAATCACTTTCCTACAAAATCACAAATCACTGTTGAATTCACTTTAGTTACTCTACATTGAGTTAATTAGTTTATAGCCTGCTCTATCCAACTATATTTAAATGTTGCCTTCAGCTATTTTTTGAAAATTGTGCTTTATTAGTTTATTGTTCAGACCATATGGTGCGACATCAGGAGAAGGAAGCCTGTAAAAATAAAGTTACTAAAATGAGAAGGCAACTCATATGAGAAACAAGAAATGGATAATTATATTTTAAAGCAAATATAAATCTATACTTTGGGGTGGGTAGACAAATTCTAAAAAAAAAATGATGAGTACATTGTTTACAGGCAAGATTCCCCAGAGCTTGAAGAAATGAAAGTTGCATTTTTTCTTTTTACAAGTTACACTAAATAATGTTGCAGGATGACAAAATGTCAATTCTAAAATTGTTTTACTTGAATTAGCTCAAATTATCATTGTTTCTCAAGTTTTGAAATTTGATATACAGGTGTGCACTGAACACTAGAAAATTATGACAGGGTGAACATCTGATCACTCAACTATGATAATGTATTTAAAGAAATGCTTGTTTTACATGAAATATTGTCTTAAAAACAGAGAAATTGGGCATAGTTTTTATATGGTATTGTAAATGAATACTTTGTCTTTCCTTGTACTTTTTCATAGTTTGTTTTTAAATTATGAAATATGGCACCTTTATTTTATCAACCACATTAATATCTGAATATTTTTTTAGCTAAATACAAGCTTAGGTTATGAGTTTATTTCTTACATTTAGTGTTTTTTACTTTTAAATATATGTTATCTGAATAACTGCTCTGATTTAATTAGAATGATGTCACAGGAAACATAAATCATTTATTCACATAATTACCAAATACAATTTGTAATAACATAGATAAAAAAGAAAAAGGAAATTAAACTGAACAATGTTTTTCCCACATTATCATCAGAGAAAATATTTACTTAAAAATATTTCCTCATATTCATTAATATTTTGCTTGATGGATTCATAGCATTCACATTTGTTGATTACCAACTTATACACCCTTTTTTAAAACATGAATAAAAACACCACCTTTATTTTAAATAAAAAATTAAAATATTTGCTACGCTTACCAAAAGGTATTCAATCATAAGCTGGGCCAGCTTGAATAATTTCAAAAAATTGGGGTCAACAGAACCAGGAATCTGTAAAGTATGCTTAATGTTATAAACCTGGCATTTCAAGACATTATTTTTAAAATTGAAAAACACTACTTTGAAGAAACAAACATTATTTCAATTTAAGCCTTGATTAAGTTGAATATACATGTAGAAAGCATGACATGATAATATAGCCTTTGTTTAATCAACAGGAAGTAATAAATATTATCAATTTCTCTACATGATACATATAGTATTTGAAATAATTATAGAAATGGTGAGGGGAAAAAAAGGGTATAAAAGGCAAATACTACTAGAATAACATCTCTTTATCTTCTGAAAATGAGGTGCACTAGAGTAAAGTCATGGTTGATAGCTTACCTGTGATTGGTTGTCATCCAACCAATCAACAGGTGCCACATCAGCATAACCTTTTCCAGATGAGTGATGGGTGAAAAGCCATGTCATGATGTTTGTTGACTCGCATTCAAAATTTTATGGAATTACTATTTCATGAATTTATGTCAATAAGTTTGGTATCAAACTGTAGATTATAATCAAAATTTTAGAATCATACCTTACTCAATTTCTTAATTTAAAAGTAAATGTTAAAAAAGCACAGTTAAACATTGATTTTTGTGTGTCACATGGTATGTTCAATACAGCTCTGGTTCAAATTAGATGTTTTTGATGTCAAAGTACTAAGTCTATAGTTTTGTACAAATTAGGAACTCAATTACCGATATTGAGAAGCTAGAATATAAAATAAGATCCTCTTATCTTTTCAATTCGCTAAGATATTGCTCATGTAATAAATCAAACACAGCGGCCCCCAGCCCACCTCTTTCCATTTTGGGAAACACTCCCTTATATATACACTTACTTCTATATATGATATGATATGAATAACCAATCGGAAGCTCAAAACGTCTCCTAGTGGCTTTTTCAGCCATCTTAACGTGTTTGGATGCTATTTCTTTCTTTTGAACTTCCCACCAGTGGCACAGCGGTATGTCTGCAGAATTACAACGCTAGAAACTGGGTTTCGATCCCCGTGGTGGGCAGAGCACAGATAGCCCTTGTGTAGCTTTGTGCATAATTAAAACAACAATCTTT